AAACAATTTCAATAAGGTACACTAACCCCGAACCTGTAGATGAATGATATGATCCCTGTTTATAAATTCCAGTTTCATAAGGTCTTTTTTAATTTTTTTACAAGCTTTCGTCTGTTCCTACGAGACATCCTCAGGTATGGAAATAGATTTGTTCTTGTTTTTTTTATTTTTATATATATATATATATATATATATATATATATATATATATATATATATATATATAAGCAAATGTAAATGGATATAGATCCGTGTGACGACAACGTGACCATGCTAAACGGAAAGCTGATCATTTTAAAATTTTCAGTTATCTGTTTTGGATAAGACTTGTTTTTTATGTCCATCGTCTTTGTCAAATTGAGCTGAATTGTATTTTAATGAATATTGTCCTGAAGAAGGTTTATTAAACCGAAACGTCAGACGTCGACATTTCATTCATTTTAAACAGCATAATCGCATTTAAGGATTTTTGTTTGTTTTTTTCCAAATTTTTCTTCATATATATATATATATATATATATATATATATACGTTTCATACTATGTAGAATTTTTCAAGGCAAAAACGAAATTAATAGCTAGCCGTTCGCATGTCTGTCTGCACGGCTGGCCAGCTAATCCCTGCTGCAGGCGCCTGCTCAGACACATCTTTGGTTGCTCAGAAACCACAAAGCCCAGTGGTTTACACTAACTATGCTCAGCAAACGTTAGTTACGGTTTCTGGGAAAGAGTGCATCATCTGGTATGAGTAAGAGGCTAAACAAGTTACAAGCACGCCTAAACACTCGGTCACGATTACATGTGACTTTGTGCTAATGTAACACTGACGAGCAATACCGTCTAAACGATTTTACTCACAATGCTAATTTCTTTGTTAATTTCTGGCAAACAGACCATTCTAACCTTTGAATCTTCTGGCCAGAAAGCAAACATTCTAAACTATATATATATATATATATATATATATATATATATATATATATATAGTTGGATAGATGTGAGTTTGTGACCCTAGGTTTCACGCTTTAGCGATTTTGTCTGACGATCGCTAAAGCGTGAAACCCAGGGTCACAAACTCACATCTATCCAACCAAATATGTTAGTCGCTTATTCTGATATTGAGCGCTTTCTAATAAGTACCGCGCATATAATATATAAATAATTATACATATATATATTTATTTATATTTATAAACACTTTTCACACACACACACATTACC